ACATTTTTTTACAGCTCTTTTAATCTTTAAATTATTTTTTTAATGTTTATTTTTGAGACAGACAGAGACAGAGGGTGAGTAGGGAGGGGCAGAGAGAGAGGGAGACACAGAATGCGAAGCAGGCTCCAGGCTCTGAGCTGTCAGCACAGAGCCCCACATGGGGCTTGAACCCACAGACTGAGAGATCTGAGCCGAAGTCCATGCTCAACTAACTGAGCCACCCAGGAGCCTCCCCGCCGCCCCCCTCCCCCATTTACATTTTAACAGGCGCATTCTGGCTTCAGGGTCCTGGTGGGAGGGTGTAGTCATACTCTGGCAAGGTTATTGGCCCTGGGGATGGTAAGAAGTGGTTGGATTCTGGATGCATTTTGAAGGAAGAGCCAATAGGATGTTTCAATGGTTGGCACGTGCGTGTGAGGGAATGGGGAGGAGTGAAGGATGACCCCAAGGAAATCTCTTCCAGATTTGCTGCCCTGCCTTCTTGAGCTCCCAGGAACTGGGGGCTTCTCCCCACATGCTGCTGGGCCACGCCGGCTTGGCAGCGGCTTGGCAGCTTCTTGGCCGACAGCCAGGGCAGGCGTGTGGTTACGCACTTATTCTTGGGGGTGGCCATCTTGGGAGGGACCTTTAGCCTTGAGTTTGGAGCAGCAGGCCAATCCTGAAACAGGCGCCGGGTTTTGAAATCCTTACTTGGTGTTGGGTGCTCGGAATCCCAGACCCTCGAGGAGAGTTGGCCTCCCGGACTCCCTGTGGACTGGTGTAACTCCATCCCACACTCTGGCCAAGAGGCCAGTGTGCAACATGTCATCTGAAAATGTCACGGTGGCTGTCCCTTGGAAGCTTTCAGGGAGACCCCCGTGCTGTTCCTTGGGTTTCAGATTGTTCGTCATCTCTTGTCACCCAGAGAGGGGTGGACGATGGGGGTGGCTCTGCCGTATTGGCTGAACCACACACAGGGTCTCCCACTCTGATGCCTTGGGGCCTGTGTCCTCTGGAGGGTACGCGATAGGCCTGGAATCTTTGTGTAAAATCTCCTGGGTTGCTTTTGTTTTGAGTGGTTTAGATTAAAAATTTTTAAGCATTTATTTTATATTTGAGAGAGAGACAGACAGACAGACAGAGTGCGAGCAGGGGAGGGGCAGAGGAGAGCCAGAGACAGAATCTGAAGCAGCCTCCAGGCTCTGAGTTGTCAGCACAGAGCCTGACGCGGGGCTCGAACTCACGGACCGCGAGATCACGACCTGAGCCGAAGCGGGTCGCTTGGCTGACTCAGCCACCCAGGTGCACCCCTTGACTGATTTAGATTTTTAAAAACTTAAAAACCGTTATTTCTTATTTTTATTGTGGTAAAAATAGTGCATAACACAAATTTCCTGTCCTAGCCATTTTGAAGTGTGCCATTCAGTAGTGTTAAGTACTTTCTCACTGTTGGACAACCAACCCCCAGAGCTTCAGCATCTTGCAAAACTGAAACTCTGTATGTACCCGTTAAACAACAGCTCCCCATTCCCTCCTCCCCCAGCCGATGGCAACTACCATTATACTTTCTGTTTCTGTGAATTTGACTGCTTTTAGGTACCGCATGTAAGGAGAATCAGACGTATTTTTCTTTTTGCGACTGGCTTACTCTTCACATACTGTCCTCAAGGTTCATCCCTGCTGGAGCTGTGGCTTGTGTCCGCATCTTGCTAATTTTTAAGGCTGAATATTCCATTCTATGTGTATGCCCACGTAAAAAATATGCCACTTAAAATGTATTGACTTTCTGGGTAAGGTACGGGAATTGTGCAAAGCTTGGGCGATATGGTTATGAATTCCTTGCCTATTTATCACTGCTTCTCATTTATTTTAAGAATTCAGAAATGTTCATCGTCGCTGGATTGAAAGTGTGTGGGAAATGTGGCCGTGTTGCTTATATAAGTATGCCACAGTATAGGTCTGCTGGCCGTCCCAAGGGCAACTGGTTTTGTGGAATTTGAGACCAAAGAATGAGCAGCAAACGCTATTGAGGAAGGTCCAGATCCATCGCTCTTGCTCACAATGGCGGCACTTCCTTTTTCAATTTCTGAGCAAGCACATCCACATTTAAGTGGCGGGGAGCCCAGTCTGGGAGAAGCTCGAAATTGTGAACATCGTTTAACCTTTTGGAGGGACGTTTTTCTTAGCCCTCCTGGATCCGTTTCCAGAGTCCTGTTCTCTCGAAGGCTCATACCACATTCTGTTTTTCCCTTCGTTCCTTGAGGGACACTGGAGTTGTTTCCACCTCTTGCCTATTGTGAGTAATTCTGCTGTGGACGAGGGTGTACAGATGTTTCTTTGAGACCCTGCTTTTACTTATTTTGGATAGATATGCAGAAGTGGGATGGCCGAACAATATGGCGGTTCCATCTTTGATTTTTTGAGGAAGGACCACTTTGATTTTTTGAGGAAGGACCACACCGTCTTCCGTACCAGCTGCTGCACTGTCCATTCTCACCAGCTGTGCACAAGGGTTCCAGCTTCTCCACATGCTCACCAACACTTGTTGTTTTCGGCTTTGGGGTTTTGGGTTTGGTTTTGGTTTTGTTGGCAGCCGTCCTTGTGGGTGTGAGGTGGTATCTCATTGTGATTTTTGATTTGCATTTCCCTAACGATCGATGAGTGCTGTGGGACAACTTTTCATACGCTTATTGGTCTTTTATGTATCATTTTTTTGGAGAGATGTCGATTCAAGTCCTTTGCCCATTTATTAATTGGTTTTTGTGGTTGTTGTGTTGTTGAAATCACCTGATTTTAAAACCTTGGTCACCAATGCATATGCTTTTTTTTTTAATTTTTTATTTTTTTTAATGTTTTTATTTATTTTTGAGACAGAGAGAAGACAGGGCATGAGCGGGGGCGGGGGGGCAGAGAGGGAGGGAGACACAGAATCAGAAGCAGGCTCCAGGCTCCGAGCTGTCAGCACAGAGCCCGACGTGGGGCTCGAACCCACGGACCGTGAGATCATGACCTGAACTGAAGTCAGGCGCTCCACTGACTGAGCCACCCACGCGCCCCTGAATATGCTTTTTTAAAATCGCTGCGGGAGCCAATCAAGAGTCTCTGCTGCTTTGGCTTCCGTGCCCCCCCACACGCCCCCGGTTCTGGGAAGGGCCCTTTCAAGGAGGCTGTGCTCCTGACTTTGATAACTGGGCTGCTTGCTCTCTCTCCGTTATCTGTAGGTTTTCCCTTTCATACTCCTTTAGGCCAGGAACTATTATATTTTTTGATGTTTCAGGAAGAGGTGCTTAGCACCTGGTTGTAAATAAGTGGGCCCTGTGGTCTCTGAGGGTTTGACACCTGCAGGCACCACAGGGAGGGCTGCCTGCTGTGATCGTGACATTGAACTCCCAGATGGAGCAGGTGCGGAGCCCACAGGCTGCTGGGTCTGAAGCCCAAAACTTGAGTGGAGCCCAGCGAGGCAGAAACCTTTAAGACTGGCCACAAATGAATTCTCCTTAGGGATTATGATTATGGTAGCTTCAGTACATTAAAACAACCTTGATTAGCTCTCATGACATTAACTCATAGGAGATGCTCTTAAAAACTAAGCTAGCTTGAAGCACCCGGGTGGCTCAGTTGGTTAAGCGTCCTGCTCTTGATTTCAACTCAGGTCATGGTCTCACGGTTTCTTGAGTTTGAGCCCCGCATCGGGCTTGGCACTGAATCTCCTTGGCGTGGAACCTGCTTCGGATTCTCTGTCTCCCTCTCTCTCTGCCCCTCCCCTGCTCATGCTCTGTCTCTCTCAAAGATAAACATTAAAAAAAAAAAAAAATTAAAACAAAACGAAGCTAGCTCTTCAGTGGCCCAGTATACTTTCTGCGAGTCCTAAAGCCCTTTCTACACAAGCTTCCAGCCCAGAAAGGTGAAGGAATTCTGTGGCTTGGGTCCAAAGGCCCCTGTGCCTCCTGGAAAGGGGGGCGGAGAGGTGCCGGCTGAGCTCACCTTGTCCTCCAGGGAATGGAATGTTTGGAGTCTGTGTTTGCCTTCTGCTTCTCCATACGTGACCCCCGAGGGTGTCCAGAGGCCACACTGGGGCCAGAGACCTGGGATCAGTTCTGACATTGACACAAGCCACGCTTCCTGGGTCTCATTTGTCTTCCTAAATAACCTCCAAGATTCCTTTTAGATTAAGAAAAGAAAAAACAAAAAAACCTGTTTGCACATCTTTGGGAGACTATTTTTAGATTAAAAAAAAATCTGTGCACATGTTTGGATAGTGAATCATTTCGCTGCACATAATTCACCTTTTTCTTAGTGGGTTGGGGATGTCAGCACGAGTCATGGCTGTGGTGTGTGTTGTAGGGCAGTGATATGTGGGGGATCTGTTGGGTTTTGGTCACTTCTATTTTAAAATTTTTTAATGTTTACTTTTGAGAGAGAGAGAGAGAGGGAAAGAACATGTGCGCGCGTGTGCGTGAGTGTGGGGGTGGGGGGGAGGTTAGAGAGAGAGGGAGACAGAATCGCAAGCCGGCTCCACGCTCCGAGCTGTCAGCACAGAGCCCGATGCGGAGCTCGAACGCATGAACTGAGAAATCGCGACCTGAGCTGAAGTCAGACGCTTAACCGACTGAGCCACCCAGGCACCCCGGTCACTTCTGTTGTAAACGTGCTTAGGTGGTCATGCTTTTTCAGTGTCAGGGCCTGCTTTTCGTAGACGTCCGTCCCTTGCTGTCCACCTAGCAGATGTCGCTTCTTCTGACCGTTGGTGTTTTTAAGTGAACATCCTAATCCTTTCTTCTGATTCGCCGCCTCGTGTCTGGTAAGGCGGAAGATCCACGACGACATCTGTAAGGATTGTGCGTAACCTAAGAGTAAATGGGCCCTAAGCGAGGGCGGAGGGGCCTCTGCTGGGGACAGAGCCCAGTCAGTTCTCAGCTGTCTCACTCCGGCCCGGGTGTCAGCGGTGAGCGAGCCTTCTGATGGTCGAGGCCCGGCTGTAGGTTTTGCACCTGTCTTGTTGCCCTCCCTACTCTGCAGGGGCTGTTTCTTCCCAGGCCGTGGGTACCTCTGTGCTACAGGCTAAGGTTCAACAAGTCTCGCTCAAGGTAGCCTGCACTGATTTAAAATTTTTTTTTTTTTTCAACGTTTATTTATTTTTGGGACAGAGAGAGACAGAGCATGAACGGGGGAGGGGCAGAGAGAGAGGGAGACACAGAATCGGAAACAGGCTCCGGGCTCCGAGCCATCAGCCCAGAGCCCGACGCGGGGCTCGAACTCACGGACCGCGAGATCGCGACCTGGCTGAAGTCGGACGCTTAACCGACTGCGCCACCCAGGCGCCCCAAGCCTGCACTGATTTAATTGGATGGGTCATTTTCTTGATTTTTCTCAGGAATTCACTTCCCAGACTGTTGGTTTTTCTCATGAGTCAGACTTTCCTTGAAGAGCCTCCCCCGCACGGCTCCTGTCCTCCTCCGCTGTCGCTTTGGACCTTTGATGCTTCTCCGGCAGGACTGGCCAGCCTGCCAGCTTGGATCAAGGGTTCGGAGTCTCATTCTGGGTGCCCTAAGCCTCTGCTTGCCGCCGAGAAAGTGTGAATCCTGGTAGCTCTGTTGTCCTCAAGCTGTGTCACCTTTGGCAGGAAGCCGGCAAACTCTCCGAGCCTCAGTTGCACCACATTAAAGAAATTTTTTTTAATGTTTATTTATTTTTGAGAGACAGAGACCAGAGCACAAGCAGGGGAGGGGCAGAGAGGGAGAGGGAGACACAGACTCCGAAGCAGGCTCCAGGCTCTGAACTGTCGGTGCAGAGCCCGACACGGGGCTCCAACCCACGAGCCGTGAGATCGTGATCTGAGCCGAAGTCAGACGCTGAGCCGACTGAGCCACCCAGGCGCACCCAGAGTGGAGATAGCCATATTCCCTTTGGGAGTGGTTTGAGGATGAAAAGGAATCACGCAAAGGGGGTAGGGGACCACGTCAGGCACAGAGGAGGTGCGAGTGCAGTTTCCGTCCCCACTTAGATTTAGTCGGGCTCTTGTAACAAGGTTACGAGGAAACTCACAGAATCGCTGGGGTTGGGCCACAGCGCCTGCCCTCGGAACTAGGTGGCGACAGCCTGTAGGCATTCCCTCCCCTGCCTGCTCCCGGACAGGTGGCCCTGCTTGGCTCTGGACCTCTGGTTCTTGGGCTCCTCTGCGTTCAGATTCAGGCCACCATCTTTCAGTCCTAGCTGGCCATCCTCAGTGGGGGGTCCGGGTCCCCCCCCCCCCCCCCCCCCCCACCAGGCGGCCCGGCCCGGGAGCTGGTCCTGCCGAGGGGGAGTGAGTGTGGGTAACCGAGCCCTGGCTGACACTGCTCTCCTGGGTGAAGGGCAGGTCCCGCGGGGGAGGAGAGGAGCTCGCCCAGAACGCGCCCCCTCCCCCAGAGGTATGATGCTCCGTGTCGCCCGGTCCTAGATGCCGACAAGAGGATCAAGGTGGCAAAGCCGGTGGTGGAGATGGACGGCGATGAGATGACCCGGATCATCTGGCAGTTCATCAAGGAGAAGGTAGTTCCCTCCCAAAGTGGGCGTTCAGCCCCCGCGCAGGCCCCCTCGTGCCCCTGAGCCACAGTCATCCGGGCTGATGCCTTGCCCTGGTCATCTGTTTCTAGCTCATCCTGCCGCACGTGGATGTCCAGCTCAAGTATTTCGACCTGGGGCTCCCAAACCGTGACCAGACCAACGACCAGGTCACCATAGACTCCGCCCTGGCCACCCAGAAGTACAGTGTGGCTGTGAAGTGCGCCACCATCACCCCCGATGAGGCCCGTGTGGAAGGTGTGAGAGTGCGGAGGCAGGTGGGCTGGGGGCGTGGGGGCCGTGACACGAACCCCGTCTCCCTGCGACTTTGCGGGAGGCGTTGGGGCCGTGGGGTTTCCTGCAGAGGAGGCTAGGAGGGCCGGTGAGGGGCTGGCACCCACGTGGGGTGTGGCAGAGCAGAATCCAGGCCCGTGGCATTGCTGCTGTGCCGCGCGGCTCTGGCCAGCACCGGTAGGTGTCGTGGGCCACGGACACGTTGCTGAAGCCGTCAGAGGAAGGGCAGCCTCCTCGGGCGCCCCTCTCACCTCCTGGACTGTCCTGCAGGCAGGTTTACAGAGACACCTCGGGGCCACCTCTGGCCAGCGGAGTGCCGCGTGTCAGCTTGTATCTTTCAGAGCTGCAGCGGGCTCTAGGGAGCGTCGCTAGTGTCTTGCCGCTGTCTTGGCCTTGCGGGTCTGTCCCCTGCCCCCTGCGGCTGCGGAGGGGTCTCAGAGAGGTGCGCTCACCAGGCTTGGACCGGCTGCCGGTCCCTGCTTCTGGGGAGCACTTTTGAGGGTTTCCCAAAACAATGGCACCAGTACGGGGCTAAAGGGGGTCACGTTTGGAAAATTCGAGAAAGGGTCGTTCAGGGGTGTGCAGAGCTCTTTCTCTCTGCCTGCGTCCTACGGCACGAGGGAGCTGGAAGGAAGCATTCGAAGCACATTTCCAAACACTCCAGACCTTCTTCCGTCTTTCGGGTTTGTACCTGACCCTGGGACATTGGGATCATTTAAGTGCTAAGCTCTTCTTTGTGGGGTTTCTTTTCATTTCTCCTGAACCCTGGGATTTCTGTACCCCTGTTTTATGGAGAAGGAAGTAGAGAGCCAACAGTCCCGGTAACGTGGGCTGGACTCCACGGTTCGTGGCAGTACTGAGGCCTGCCCTCTGGTCTTCTGGCCTCTGTCCAGCGAGACGCCATACTGCCAGAGTTCGTCAGACCGAGCTACGTCCACGCATGACGTGGGAATAATACACTAGCTGAAGGAGCCCCGATGTGCCAGGCACTGTTCTAGGCACTTTCCACAGAGGTTTATTTAATCCTGACAGCAACCCAAGATGCGAGGTATTTTTATCAGTAATTTCATTTTATAGCTCAGGTTAACTCACTGGCATAAAACTCACAGTTACAGGTGGTGGAGCTGGACCTTGAACCCAAGAAATCTGATCCCAGAGGGGCGCCTGGGTGGCTCAGTCGGTCGAGTGTCCGACTTTGGCTCAGGTCACGATCTCACAGTTATGGGTTCGAGCCCCACGTCGGGCTCTGTGCTGACAGCTCGGAGCCTGGAGCCCGCTTCGGATTCCGTGTCTCCCTCTCTCTCTGCCCCTCCCCTGCTCTCACTCTGTCTGTCTCTCTCTCAAAAAGAAATAAACATTAAAAAAAAATAAAAAAGAAAGAAGTATGGTCCCAGAGCCCACATACTTATATTTTAGACCTTCCCCAGGGTGATTTTTAGGGCTCCCATCTGGCTGCGTTCTTGCTCAGGGTTCAGATTTTGGTTGGAAGGTGGGGGCTGCAGTGGGGTCCCTTCACCTCTGTCCTCCTAGAATTCAAGCTGAAGAAGATGTGGAAGAGTCCCAATGGAACCATCCGAAACATCCTTGGGGGGACCGTCTTCCGGGAACCCATCATCTGCAAAAACATCCCACGCCTCGTCCCCGGCTGGACCAAGCCCATCACCATTGGCAGGCACGCCCATGGCGACCAGGTTGGCCACGGCAGGAGGCGGGACTCGGCTCTTCCTGGCCTGGGCCCCTCGCTCGGAACCCCTGGCCCGAGCCGTGCTCTTGTCTCTGCAGTACAAGGCCACAGACTTTGTGGTCGACCGGGCCGGCACGTTCAAGATCGTCTTCTCCCCGAAGGATGGCAGTGGCGCTAAGGAGTGGGAAGTGTTCAATTTCCCTGCCGGCGGCGTGGGGATGGGCATGTACAACACGGATGAGGTGAGGCCCTGGCGGGCGGCTCCTGCGTCCCCTCCTCCCTCGGGGGCAGCTTCGGGTTGGTGATGCTCACTACTCCCGCGTCAGTGGCTTGAGGAAGGTCCGAGGCCCGTGAGCCGATGCGTCTTGGCTGTGTTTCGAGGGGACCAGTGCATCTTGGCTATGTTTCGGGGGGACCTGCTGTGGACCTGGTGTGGAGTGAGGCTGGAAGACAGACCCCCGCTTAGCCAGATGCCCCCGCACTCACTCCCCGACACACCTCTGGGGGCGTGTTAGTTGTCTGGTCTCTTGGCTTAAGCAAGCTGGATGAGCAGTCTTTGCCCCTTCCCCGTCTCTTGGCTTTCGTTCCTTCTGCGGTTGGCCTCATTCTCAGGCTGTGAGGAAGTGACCACCGGCAGCTCCAGGCTTACCCCTGCCGACTTGGTTACCCTGTCAGAAAAGAGCGTCTTTTGCTCCTGGTTCCAGTGAAAGTTCCAGGCCTAGGTCACATGACCCTCTCTGAGCCAGTCATGGAGGGCTCAGAGAGGATAGGCTGGGACACACCGTCAACTCTAGAGACAGGCAGGTGGGCTGGGGGAGTTAGCTTTACCCCAGCCATACGGCCTAAGACCTGGGGAGCCCAGGGAGGGCTGGTAGCCCGCAGGCCGGCCGGGCCCCACGCCAGGGACCTCTCTCCCCCCGCAGTCCATCTCGGGTTTTGCGCACAGCTGCTTCCAGTACGCCATCCAGAAGAAGTGGCCGCTGTACATGAGCACCAAGAACACCATCCTGAAAGCCTACGACGGGCGCTTCAAGGACATCTTCCAGGAAATCTTTGACAAGTAACAGCCTCTCCCTTTATTCCTTCCCAGGGATCCCACAGCCCTTCTCTCCTGTCCCCCCGGGCCCCTGTCCTACGGGGTGGCCGCCGTCCCAGTGCTTTTGGCTCGGCTCGAGGAGAGATCCTCAACCTGTCAGCCTCCCGCCCTCTCCCCACAACAGGCCCTTTTGCTCCCAGGCACTATAAGACCGACTTCGACAAGAATAAGATCTGGTACGAGCACCGGCTCATTGATGACATGGTGGCTCAGGTCCTCAAGTCTTCAGGCGGCTTCGTGTGGGCCTGCAAGAACTATGATGGAGACGTGCAGTCGGACATCCTGGCCCAGGGTATGCTGGGAGCACCTGTTCCCCAAGGGGTGGATTGTGGGTCTTCTCCGGCTGGGGGGATTTTCAGACTCCCTTCGTAGAAAATGTGTCCAGTGTGGCAGCAGGACTGGGGCCGGCCGTCTCATTGCAGGGTTCCCCGTGGACAGCAGGGGGCAGGAGCTCTCCGGCATCTGAGGGAGGAAGGGTCACAAATTAGGTTTGGACTGGTGTATTACTAAGGCTGCTGTTACAGAAAAAGGAGAACCTAGGAATTCAAGTTCTAAGGGGCCAGGTGCGTCAGCTGTGAGGTTGTTCCTGTCCACGAAGCCAAGCGACTGTGCCTCCAGGTTTGGGCCAGGGTTGGCTCCAGTAGAAAAATGGTTTTGAGCACAACCGGGTACTTTTCGAATTACAGAGAATTCGTTTTGCACAGTCAACCTGTTGGCTGTAGGCGAATACTGGGGAAGATGGCAGAGCCCCAAGCCCTGGACGTCCTCTAAGAGATAATTCAGATTGCAACATAAAGCATGGACGAGACCCTTAGAGAAGTAGCCATAAGAAATAGCCCGATTGTGCCCGGCTGGCTCAGTCGGAAGAGCAGGCAACTCTTGATCTCAGGGATTGTGGTTTCCTGCCTCAAGTTGGGTGTAGAGATCACTTAAGAAATAAAAATCTCAGGGCGCCTGGGTGGCTCAGTTGGTTAAGTGCCTGACTCTTGATTTCATCTCAGGTTATGATCTCACAGTCGTGGGATTGAGCCCTGCGTCTGGCTCCACGCCGGGCCTGGAGCCTGCTGGAGATTCTCTCTCTCTGCCCCTCTCCCTACTTGCGTGCACTCTCTCTCTCAAAAAATAGAATAGAATAGAATAGAATTCTAAAGTAAAATCTTGGGCGCCGCCTGGGTGGCACAGTCGGTTAAGCGTCCGACTTCAGCCAGGTCACGATCTCGCGGTCCGTGAGTTCGAGCCCCGCGTCAGGCTCTGGGCTGATGGCTCAGAGCCTGGAGCCTGTTTCCGATTCTGTGTCTCCCTCTCTCTCTGCCCCTCCCCCGTTCATGCTCTGTCTCTCTCTGTCCCAAAAATAAATAAACGTTTGAAAAAAAAAAAAAATTTTAAAGTAAAATCTTAAAAAAAGAAAAGAAGAAATAGCCCAGTGGTGTTGGGCACAAGAGCAGTGCCCCACAAGAGTAGGGAGTAGACAACGTGTAGAGCAGAGAGCGGAAGAGAAAGAAGGGTACGTGAGATGGTTTGAGGTCTAGCTCCCGAGAAGGAAGGTGACGCCCACCCCGGGGTTGCAAGGAGAATGCATAAGAATTCCTGATGTTTCATAAAACCTTGGCCTTTATTTCAATAAGTGTGGTAGTGGTCCTCTTACTAGAACAATTCCTATCTCGGATGGAAGGATGAGAAGCCATAGCAGACGAGAGAGGCATGAAAGTTGCCCTTAAGTAAACAAGGAATGGGTGAGTGCGAAGGTCCAGGAAACATGGAGAAGGGACCCCTTCCCGTGTCTCAGCAGCAGAACTTCTCAGACAACGAATTTTCCTGGAGAAGTTTTTCGCTTTTTTCTTCTTGGGACTTAACACAGTTCTTATTTTGGTGCCATGGGGTGCTTTTGAATCCCAGGAGACCTTGACAATAGAAAAGGTTGACATCTGGATTTGGGAGAATTTGGAAATAAGTCACAAAGCTTTAAAGGAGCCTGCAAGAGAGGCAGACAGAGGGATCATTTTGATGTAGCTGGTGGCAGGCTTTCTGCTTTCTGCGTGAACGAACCGTGCGGTTGCGAGCCAGGCTGGGTGGGCAGAAGTCCTGGGGTCTTGGGCTCTGGGGGCCCCAGGCTCTGGGAACCCAGATGTATGTTAATAGGCTGATGACAGCCACTTTGAACGCCCCCCTGCCCTGTGCTGGGCTCTAGAGACCCACGACAAGGGTGGGCAAGCCCGAAACAGTGGCTGTCCTCCTGGGTGCCTTTGGGGGTCACGAGCTGAGGGGGTCTCCTCCCAGCAGAAGGGCAGGGGGACTCAACCCCGGTGGTCTGAGGAGGGTGGGTGCCGGCACCGAATGGAGGGTCTTTCCACCCTTCAGGCTTTGGCTCCCTCGGCCTGATGACGTCTGTGCTGGTCTGCCCAGATGGGAAGACCATCGAGGCTGAGGCCGCTCATGGGACGGTCACCCGCCATTATAGGGAGCACCAGAAGGTGAGTGTAGGGACCGTGGTCGCATGCCCATCTGTCCCAGGGGCTCAGAACCCACTGGCTCTGAGGGCTGGGGGGATGGGACTGACCCGTCAGCCTACGGGTGGGCGGTCGCGTCCGGGTGGCCCCCTTGTTGGCCGGTTCGGCTCCCGATCCCCCTACGACCCTCGCCCCCAGGGCCGGCCTACCAGCACCAACCCCATCGCCAGCATCTTTGCCTGGACGCGTGGCCTGGAGCACCGGGGGAAGCTGGATGGGAACCAGGACCTCATCAGGTGAGCGGAGAGGGAAGGGCCTGACCTGGCCCAGGGCAGCTTCTGGGCGGGCTCTGTATCGGGGCCTCACTCTGGCCCGCCCCCTGCAGGTTTGCACAGACCCTGGAGAAGGTGTGTGTCCAGACGGTGGAGAGCGGAGCCATGACCAAGGACCTGGCGGGCTGCATCCATGGCCTCAGCAAGTGCGTGGCTGGTGGCACAGGGAGGGGCTGGCCTTCTGGGACCTTCTTCCCTGGGTGGGAAGAAGCCAGAGGACCCTCTTAGAGGCACCTCCCCCCCTCCTCATCCTCAGGTCAGCTTAGCTGCCAAGGGCCTGGGGTGGGCCAGGTCCACAGCCCTGAGACCCTGTGAGTTTGCCCCCATCCCCGAGGCTAGGGGCTCAGAGCCTTGCCGTCCCCGTCTGTACAAATGTCTGAAGTTGTGTGGCCCTTTGGCGACGGGCCCTAGGCAACCTTTGACGCGCAGCCTGGGCGTGCCACGCCCCACGGGCACGGGAGGGCAGCTCCTCGGGTGCCCAAGTTCAGGCTCTGCCCGGACTCAGGCTGGAGCCGCGCCTCACGTGAACGGTGTTCTCTCGGCAGCGTGAAGCTGAACGAGCACTTCCTGAACACCTCGGACTTCCTGGACACCATCAAGAACAACCTGGACAAGGCCCTGGGCCAGTAGTGGGGGCGGGGCGCGGCCCGCAGCGGGCGGGCCGGGGTGGGGGGGCAGCGGGCCGCGGCTGAGCCTCCCGGCCCCTCTCAGGAGGCGCTTTCTCCTCCTCCTTCCTTCCTTTCTAGGGACGCTTTTATAAGCAAGATGTTTTTAAGAATATCTGTGTGTTTCCCCTCATGGTGATGTGAGGCAGGAAATCACAGCTGCTTGTTTACCCCTCAGCCAGTCAGTGAGTTTTGCATACTGTAATTTATATTGCCCTTGGAACACATGGAAAAGAAGATGAAGGAATGCCTTAAAAAGCTCTTCACAAACCGCCTGCTTGCTGTCAGGCTTGAAACTGGTGGGATGAGGCAGCCCGGCCCGGGGCCCCAGAGAAAGAGGCCCTCAAAGGGCTCAGGATTCCACCACGTCCGCCTCCATTCAGGCCACCGGGTGGAGTGGAGAATGGCAGCAGTGAGAGTGTCCTGAATTCTACAGGAGCTTCCTACAGTCACATGGCCTGTGGTGTGCAGGCCTGAAATTACCAAACACGATCCGGTTCCTATATGCTGATCTCCACTTGGGGATTGTTACCACTTCCTGGTAGATTCTGGTTGCATTGCCATTGATTGATTGATTTTTTGCTTTGTTTTCACCTCCTAAACATCTTGAGACCTCTTTATTTACCCTTTGCTTGGTCCTCAGAATGGGTTTCCCACAGCGGTGGCTTCACGGCCCTCTGCACGGCTGCCTGGGGCTCGGGGCTGGGACTGTGAATGGAGGTCCCGTGTAGTCTAGGCCCATCGGGTCCCTAACTTGGGTTCCTCCTCGCCATTCTTTGGCAAAACCAGAAAAGTAAGATGGAAAGTTGCAGTAAAGCAAAACAGATCCAACTTGAAGGGCTATCTTTTCATGCAGGGAATATATTCTACTTTTGGGGTCTCAATGCTCAAAGTGGGGGGGGGAAGAGTTGTGCCATTTTCACCTGATCTAACAGATACTTGGCGACCCAAAGTCCATTTCCCCAGTTTCCAGGGTTGGGGGCAGGGGAGACTCTCAAGGCTCTTGAAACTGGGCAGCTGGGACCTCGGTAGCTCGGAGATGGGTTCTAACCGCCCCTCACCCTGGTGGCCTCCGTGTATTTGAAGGACCGCGCGTCTGCAGTAATCATACTGAACTCCCAGGGCTGTGGGAAGAAAAGCTGGTGTGCTGGCTCTGCTTAAGGGCCAAAGGTTTCCGGCCCCTTCTTGCCCGTCAGTAGGAAGGGCTGGCAGCCTCGGAGGTGCAGTCTGGCGTCGTGAGCTGGCTTCTGTCCTGGTACCCTGTCGGTGGGTCAAGAGGAGAAGCGGCTTTTCTCTGCAAGTGGTGGGAATTCTGGGGCCTTGGCCGCAGCCCTCCTCTCTTGGGCTTGGAGCGGCTCCCTGTAGGCGCCTGGCCCTGCAGGTGGCCATTCCAATGCCAAGGATGGTCTGAAGGATGGTCTGCGTTTCTTCCTCCTCCTCGGAGAGCAAGCGACGGATGCCCTGCTGTGTGGGGCAGGGCAGCTTTGTTGGGAGTTCCTTCTGGGGGAGGGGTGAGGACCAAGTCCCCAAGAACCACGGGAAGAAGCACTCACAGTCAACCTCGCTAAAGAATATTCATTTATTTATAATTATTGCTAAGTAAACTTCTCTCTTAAACGGGAACATAAAAACACAGTAGGGCTTTGCACAAGTGGAATTTCTAAACAGTTGGTTCGTATACACGTCAAAATAAGTTAGAATGGAATTCGTCCAGGAGTTTCCAAGTCACCCAAGAGGCCGCACGCCTCTGTTGAGAGGTTGGGGAGGGGTGAGGACAGGAGCCTTGCCGAGACCACCCCCCAGCTCAAATTGTTTAAGTTGTGCTGTTTCCTTCTCTTAGCTTTGCCTGGGTCCAAGGCACAGGGCAGGGGGCGTTCAAGTATTGAACCTCGCAGAGGGCCGAGCTGATGGCAGGGCTGGGGGACGAAAGGAGAGCCCCGCCCTGGGGGCCAGACCGTCTCCCTTGGGTTTTCAAGACCAAGGCCACTGCGCTGGCAGGAAAGAGGAGGAGGAGGAGGAGGAGGAGGAGGAGGTACAGGGTTCTTTTTGGTACCAGGGGAGAAAGACATTGTGGGAAGAGGTAGTTTGCAGGGGGTGATGCTTCTGCTCAGCAGGAGAAAATGTCTTCTACAGTGACGGGGGTCACTGCCACCTGAGGGTCATCATGGCGGGCACCTGGGGGGCTGGGGGGGGCCTCGGGGTTCTGGAGGGGAAAAGGCTCCTTTGAGCCCCCAGTCCTCTCGTTTGTTGCCTCTTAGCATGAGCTTAAGCAGAGAAGGAAGGGGCACCTGGCTGCCTGATCCCGAGGCCACCTTGTCCTTCCCTCAGTCCTGAGCACAGCCACCCTGAAGCCTGGCTTGGTCCTTCACTAAGGGTACAGCTTTGGGGGTAGTCAGCTGCATTTCAAACTGGTCCCCCCCCCCCACCCCACCCTGGCTGTTCCCCCTCCTTTCCTGGTTTCTGGGCCGAAGTTGGTGGCTTCACCTCCTTCGTGCCTTTGGGGACAGCCCTGCCTGCCCCTCTCCACTGAGGCCTCAGGAGGCGAGTGGGCAGGAGTCCGGGTGCCCTAGCATTCCTGAATGTACTATTTCACGCCCTGGGCCTGTCTTCGGTTCCCAGGGCAGGAGCTGGCGCGGGGACAGAGGCGATGAGAGTAGGCAAGCAAGGGAGGGAGCTGTCGGCTGAGCAGAATCGAGCAGCCTTGGCCGCTGAGGTGGGTGGTGCAGAGCGAGTCACTGGCTGGAGAGGCCGGGCAGGGGCGGAGGGCCTGCCCAGCTCTGCGTCCTGCCTCTCGCCAGGGCCCGAGGCTCCCTGCCAGCCCCCCTCCGCGCCGGAGTCCCGCCTGGCGGGCCACCGGAGCTCAGGGAGGCGTGAAGCGCTCACGGCACACGAGGGAGCTTCCATTAGGAAAAAGAAAATGATCTCCAGCAGAAAGAATAGGTGACAGAGTTGGAAAGGAAAAAAAATAATAAATTACCTTCAAAATACCCCTTTTGCTCAAAATTTTTTTTTTCTCTATGGTCTTCATTTTCTTTTTAACTATGTTGTTCTTTCTGGGAACCTGTTGAGTCTTGGCTGTCCCCATCCTCAAAATGGATACTTGTTAATAATAAAATACTCCAGCCACCCCCCAGGTGGTCCTTGGCCTCCTCTGGGGACAGCCCCTCTCAGTCCCCGTGATCCCTTCGCTGTGCCCTGCCCCTCACTCGAGGGGGCCCCCATCTGTCTCAGTGTGTGCCCAGCGAAAGGCACATCCCAGCTTTGTTCACATCGGGGGACCCCGGTGCGGGGACCAGTTCAGCACAGAACCGGATGACATTTGTTGAAATCCACTTTAGGGACACCCACTTTTAAATGGCTGGAGGGGGGCCTTCTGGGGGCTGGCTGGAGCAGGCATTCGCCGGGGGCTGGGCTACACCCTGCTTTCCTAAGGCCAGGACCGGGGCGGCATGCATGCCTGGCTGCAGGAGAGCGCGGGAGGCACCAGGAGGTAGAAG